TGTACACCAATGTTAGTAATAACTTGTATATCAGTATTAGTAATACGGTGTACATCAGTGTTAGTAATGACTTGTGCATAACTGCTACTAATAACATGTACATCACTGTTAGTAATAACTTGTACATCACTGTTAGTAATAACATGTACATCGCTGTTAGTAATAACATGTACATCACTGTTAGTAATAACATGTACATCACTGTTAGTAATAACATGTACATCACTGTTAGTAATAACATGTACATCACTGTTAGTAATAACATGTACATCGCTGTTAGTAATAACATGTACATCACTGTTAGTAATAACATGTACATCGCTGTTAGTAATAACTTGTACATCACTGTTAGTAATAACATGTACATCACTGTTAGTAATAACATGTACATCGCTGTTAGTAATAACTTGTACATCACTGTTAGTAATAACATGTACATCACTGTTAGTAATAACATGTACATCACTGTTAATAATAACATGTACATCACTGTTAGTTATAACTCGTACTTCCGAGTCAGTAATAACTTGCACATTACTGTTAGTAATCACTTGTACATCATTGTTAGTTATATCGGGTACATCACTGTTAGAAATAACCTGTATATCAGTGTTATTAATACATTGTACATCACAAATAAAAATAACCTTATATCGTTGTTACAAGTAACCTGAATTCCTCCGTTAATAAAAAAAAACTGCATCTTGCTGTCAGAAAAAAAACAGCTTTTAGAAATAACATGTATATAGTTGTTTGAAATAATCTGCATATCACAATTAGATTAACCTGGATATCACTGTTAGAAATAACATATATCATTATCACATATTATAGTTTTTAAATAATAAATGTGAAGAAGAAAAGAAGGCATGGAAACTTGCATAATAATAATTTGAATATGCAATAAATTATATAATTTCGTATATCTAAGTATATTGTTTTTAAGTAAAACAATTGGGTTCACATTGTTTCTATTAAATGTGTAAAGCACTGATTTTGTTATGATAATTACTGCATTGGGTGAATTTTAATTCTTCTCTTTAAATCCAAACAATATGTGTTATTTACTAACTCTGCTTTCTGAATAGTTCCCAAACCAATCTGACCGCCTCCGTGGCCTAGTGGTAAAGCGTCCGCCCGCAGAAAGGAAGGTTCTTTGCTCGATCCCTGGCCGCGTCGTTCCAAAAGACGTTAAACTGTTGTACTTGTTATCCTGCCTGGCGCTCGCCAGTAAGGGGCTAAAATACGGACTGATCCGCACGGAGTCGGTATACAGTGTCTGAGTGGGGTATTCATGTTAAAATGCGGCATAATATCTCAGTGGGCTAGCACTAGTAAAAGCAGCCACACACACGTGCATGCACGTCGCTTTATAAGTGCAACCATCTTGAACACGAAGTTAAACCCCATTTCACTTCACCTCACAGTCATCACTAGAAATATCAATACATATATACCTATCTATCACTGGAACATCATATACTCCGGGATGTTACTAAAACATTACAACACTACATATAGCCATCTATCACTAAAACATCATATACTCCGGGATGTTATTAAAACATTACAACCATACATATACCCATCTAGCACTAAAACATCATATACTCCGTGATGGGGGGTCAGGGAATAGGACCCAAGACGGAAATCTCTACCTCCCTGTCACCTTTAACGAAACGTTCTTCGTAAATATACATGGTGTGGGCAGATAAAAAAGAAAGACGTATGTTATGATAACACGTTCAGGAGAATGCATGGAAACCATATTTTTGAAATCAATTTTAGCACATACTGTCTTCGTTATAAACAGATGTATAAATATATGTTTGTGACGCGTCAGAGGAAGAGGTGAGCATCCTGTGTGCCGTGTGCAACAGGGAGCAATGTGGGCATATGACTTAACGCGTGACACAACATCCAGGGCTGTTATTAAAACATTACAACGCTTCATATACCCATCTATCACTGGGGTATCATATACTCAGGGTTGTTATTAAAACATTACAACACTACATGTACCCATCTGTCACTGGGGTATCATATACTCAGGGTTGTTATAAAAACATTACAACACTACATATACCCATCTGTCACTGGGGTATCATATACTCAGGGTTGTTATTAAACATTAAAACACTACATATACCCATCTATCACTGGGGTATCATATACTCAGGGTTGTTATTAAAACATTACAACACTACATGTACCCATCTGTCACTGGGGTATCATATACTCAGGGTTGTTATAAAAACATTACAACACTACATATACCCATCTATCACTAAAACATCATATACTCAGGGTTGTTATTAAAACATTACAACCATACATATACCCATCTGTCACTGGGGTATCATATACTCAGGGTTGTTATAAAAACATTACAACACTACATATACCCATCTGTCACTGGGGTATCATATACTCAGGGTTGTTATAAAAACATTACAACACTACATATACCCATCTGTCACTACAATATCATATACCCATCTATCACTAAAACATCATATACTCCGTGATGTTATCAAAACATTACAACACTACATATACCTATCTATCAGTGGGGTATCATATACTTCGGGATGTTATTAAAACATTACAACACTACATATACCTATCTATCACTGCAACATCATAAACCCCGGGATGTTATTAAAACATTACAACACTACATATACCCATCTATCACTGAGGTATCATATACTCTGGGATGTAATCGAAACATTACAACACTACATATACCCATCTTTCACTGCTACATCATATACTCCGGGATATTATTAAAACATTACAACACTACATAAACCCATCGATCACTACAACATCATATACTCCGGAATGTTATTAAAACATTACAACACTACATAAACCCATCTATCACTACAGCATCATATGTTCCGGGATGTTATTAAAACATTACAACACTACATAAACCCATCGATCACTACAACATCATATACCCCGGGATGTTATTAAAACATTACAACACTACATAAACCCATCTATCACTGCAACATCATATACTTCGGGATGTTATTAAAACATTACAACACTACATAAACCCATCTATCACTACAGCATCATATACCCCAGGGTGTTATTAAAACATTACAACACTACATATACCCATCTATCACTGCAACACCATATACCCCGGGATGTTATCAAAACATTACAACACTACATATACCCATCTATCACTACAATATCAAATACTTTGGGATGTTATCAAAACATTACAACACTACATATACCCATCTATCACTACAATATCAAATACCCCGGGGTGTTATTAAAACATTACAACACCACATATACCCATCTATCACTACAGCATCATATACCCCGGGATGTTATTAAAACATTACAACACTACATATACCCATCTTTCACTACAATATCAAATACTCCGGAATGTTATTAAAACATTACAACACTACATAAACCCATCTATCACTACAGCATCATATATTCCGGGATGTTATTAAAACATTACAACACTACATAAACCCATCGATCACTACAACATCATATACTCCGGAATGTTATTAAAACATTACAACACTACATAAACCCATCTATCACTACAGCATCATATACTCCGGGATGTTATCAAAATATTACAACACTTCATAAACCCATCTATCGCTACAGCATCATATACCCCGGAGTGTTATTAAAACATTACAACACTACATAAACCCATCTATCACTGCAACATCATATACCCCGGGATGTTATTAAAACATTACAACACTACATAAACCCATCTATCACTACAACATCGCACACCCCGGGATGTTATTAAAACATCACAACATACACCCCTGCACACAATGACGACGATTTGTGATACAACACCTGTAGCTATGGTAGATACCAAGTCATGGTGTACACAAGCCTGGGCCGGCCACACCCTGCATGCCAGTGATTGCCACCCATATACCCTGATTAACGGCGGATCCTACAGGAACACACTGATGGGGGAGCAGTACATTACACACACTTGCTCACTGAAGCCCTGATGAATTACCACCACTGCAGTGACAGTTAAGCCCCCGACTGGTCATCTTCAGGCAGAAAAAGTCAACCTTGAATATGTGTAAATTGCGTAAAACGTTATCACCTAGAAATATATTCACTTTGAAACATCTGTCCAGATTCATCGTACATTTGAACACATTATTACGTTAAGGTGTCTAATTTTAAAAATATATATATATATATATATATATATTAATATTTTTTTGTATTTGTTTCATTGAGGCTTGTTACCATCTTGATCTGCATTGTATGTTATATGTTGTATATATAGCTATTCTCGTACCACCGTTGGTGGTTTTTCAGAGAAATAAAACTGAAAGTGAGAGCTGATACTTAATTATTCATAGACATACCTTGCAGAGGGAATATATGGTCATAGATAAATAGCCCTTTCCCATTTTTCCCTCTCAGTCCGAACTGCAAAACACAAAAAGTTGTCAGTAAAAGTACATATAACCGTAGTCCACAGTAAACAACGTCAACGGTCATAACACACGCGTTCACCCGGACAAATAAGGAAACAGTTTGAGCGTGCTTATTTTCAAGATGCATTTGAAAGGCAATAGCAAATCTAAATATATGAGATTTATACCGTAACAATACCCTTTGATTAAAAGTTCAATCGTTGAAATCCTACATGCACTTCAGAAATAGCGGTTTTCGTGTTGAAACCAGGAAATGTTATCATTAATCATAATTAATATGATTCATAACTGATTGTCAAAGAGCACATATGGGACATAATCTGTTAGCTTTTAGTGAGAAACATGTCTTTTCTCCGATGACAATTGCCGCTTAAAGTACACGTTAATATGTACATCGCTTCCTGATGGCCGACTGATAGCGAAGACCCCCCACAAACTAACAGCCTTTGTTGTCAAGATAAAAAGTAAATATTGATATATAAACAATCTTTCGACCACAAGAATGCATAGGTTTGCGGTGAATTAGAAACCAAACCACACGACTGGAATTTACGTTGCAAAGGTACGATTGCATACATGTTTCTGTTTTAAACGAATTGAAATCAGTAGTGACTGTTTTTCTAACTATTTATTAACACCAACGAGAAAAGAATATGATTCTTCTCTAAATTAATGATTTTTCTCTCCATGTATTAATTAGAGCACCCGTGAAGATGCGGGGCAGAAAAGGTCTTCAGCAACCGTTGCTTGCCATTAAAGGGCGACTTTGCTTGTCGTAAGAGGCGACTAATGGTGGTCAGGCTTGCTGACTTGGTTGATGCATGTCATCATTTTTGCTCATGATGTCAATCACTGGATTGTCTGGTCCAGGCTGGATTATTTACAGACGGCCGTCATATAGCTGGTATATTGCCGAGTGCGGCGTTAAACAACACGCAAACAAAAAAATAATTAGAGTATTTAACGTTTGTTTACAGACCATTGTTTAGATATGGTGAGGAATACTATATCTCTGATAAGCCCCAGTGCCTTCATCAACCCCAGTAAGAGTGACCCCGTAGAGCTGGTGAATGCAAGAAATCTAGGTGAGTACATTGTGTATCTATTATTCCACAAGTAGATATACCTGTGTACAAAACTATGCAATGCAAAATACAGACTTGACAGTGTGGTGTATATACACATTTATAAATTCTCCAGGATATCAAATCGTATTTATGTAAAGTATCTTTTCGTGGTATTTGAAGGAACATACATCTTTTTGTGCGTTTTGCCTGGTGATATGCGTTGGGGAGAAGTCTCCGTCCATTATATCAACCACATGTTGATACGAAACAGTTCTCTCCTATTTCAAGGTAAAAAAATTGGACATTGTCCAACATGTCATCATTTATTTGTAACTTTAAATGACCAGATCAAAATCTAAATTAAATTTCTCGCCGTTGTAAGATTAAGATATATTTAAGGTTCGAATAACTATAAATAATTTACTTATTATATCCCAAACTACTCCAGAGTGTACTGTTTTGGAAGAAAATATTGAAAAAAACCTGTATGCATATGCATTGTATGTATGCCATGCCACTGTCATCAGTACATTGATAAAACACTCACTAATTTGTATGTTTTGAGTGAATGTGGTTTTAAGCCGTTTTAAGTAATATTCCAGCAATAACACGGAGGGGCTAACGAGAAATGGGATTCACATATTGTACCATTTGTGGAATCGAACCCGTGACGAACGAACGCTTTAACCACTGGGCCCCACCGCCCCGTATATTTATAAGTAATGCAAATAATCAATATCTCAAACCCGACAGTAAGCTAAATATTGCCATGCTATGTCTCTGGATTTCCGGGACCTGCTGTGAATTATCAGCGAGCAACAGTGTTGTACAAGACCTCAATGTAGTAGAAACTGTCTTGTTGGTATTGTGTCGTTAAAGCCCGTACAAGCTTCACTGTAGACAGCGCGGCTGGCAACCTGTTTACTTGAGAAAAACAAATGACGGTTTAAGGTAAACGAACCTTTAACACAAGTGTGGAGCAAGGTCTGTGAGAGCGATAGAGATGAGTAATACCCGACAATGGCCTCACACAATCGCACATGCCCAAGTGGTTCCTGTTGTGTCTGAACGTACGTATTTATCCTGGCCTCGGGGCGGTGGGATAGCTTAGTGGTTAAAGCGTTCTCTCGTCACGCTTAAGATTCGATGTTCGATTCGCCATATGAGTACGGGTACAGTGTGTGAAGGCTATTGCTGGTGTCCCCGCCGTGATATTTGCTGGGATATTGCTAAAAGCTGCGTAAAACCATGCTCGCTGACTTGTACCGGTCAGCTACTGTATGCTTCTTCGCTGATATTTACTTCGGGATAAAAGTCGTCGATCCTCGGGTTTAGAGCTCCGTGTAATTCAATTCCTCATATATAAGATATAAAACACAATCTCCCAGAAGTTCTCCGTCTTTCTCGTCATCACTCATCAATAGCTCTAAGTAGGTTTCGGCAACTCACAGTAGTGTCTCAACAACTCACAGTGGTGTCTCAGCAACTCACAGTGGTCTCTCAGCAACTCACTGTGGTCTCTTAGCAACTCACAATGGTGTCTCAGCAACTCACAATAGTGTCTCAGCAACTCACAGTGGTCTCTTAGCAACTCACAGTGGTCTCTCAGCAACTCACTGTTATGTCTCAGCAACTCACAGTGGTGTCTCAGCATCTCACAGTGGTCTCACAACAACTGCTGTGTCCAGCTGCTGAGGCACTGTGTTATGTTGCATCGAGAATCGAGCTTCACTCAACTTGCCATCGGCTACACTTCTCTATGACCGAACACCTGACACCGTTTAGTTCCCGAGATGACGGGCGTATCTCACGATGGACATGTGATTTGTTTGTCCCACACCCCTCGCATACCATGATCGCTACCTATTTATTTATTGCATTATAACGTTTTACTTTTCTCGGAAAACTCAAAACCGGAGCAAAGCGTTAAGATCATGGCTATCTGTAACTTATACAAGGGTTAAACCCAACTCAAACAATATTTTATCCTTTTTGCGAAGACCTGGTGCCATCACTGAGTTTCAATGGTCCATTCATATATTCATCGCAGCAGTTTGACTTGGTTGATGCATGACATCGTAACCCAATTACATAGATCGATGCTCATGATGTCAATCACTGGATTGTCTGATCCAGACTCGAATATTTACAGACCGCCGTCACAAAGCTGGAATATTGCTGAGTGCGGCGTTAAACAACAAACAAGCAATCACAGTAATTTTGCCTTTTGCCCCAGATGGAATCTGTTTCGGAGGAGAATCAAGACATGTTATTCTCTTGCATTGACTTTTTTATTTACACAAACAGGCACAAAAGATGAACCCCTGAAGCTGAAGCAGGATGGTGAGGAGGTCGGTAGCGCCAATGGTGCCGATGACGTTCCGTCGTTCCTGCAGAAGGTGACGTCATGGCGGTGGTTCACGGCCATATTGACGAGCATGGGCGTTGTCTTCATCATCCTATTGAGGAACTGTATGTCCATGGCCCTGGTCTGCATGACTGGGGGCAGGCGCGGGGGGTCAGGGAATTGGACCCAAGACGGAAATCTCTCTTTCCCTGTCACCTTTAACGAAACGTTCTTCGTAAGTATACATGACATGGGCAGATCAAGAAAGGAAGGCGTATGTTATGATACCATGTTTCAGGAAAATGCATGGAAAACTATTTTTTGTAATCAATTTTAGCACATACTGTCCTCGTTATAAACAGATGTATAAATGTATGTTTGTGACGCGTCAGAGGAAGAGGTGAGCATCCTGTGTGCCGTGTGCAACAGGGAGCAATGTGGGCATATGACTTAACGCGCGACACAACATCCAGGGCGGTCACATTTACATTGAGTGAGTGAGTGAGTGAGTGAGTTTTACGCCGCTTTTGGCAATATTTCAGCAATATCACGGCAGGGTACACCAGAAATGGGCTTCACACATTGTACCCATGTCGGGAATCGAACCCGGGTCTTCGGCGTGACAAGCGAACGTTTTAACCACTGGGCTACCCGACCGCCCCCATTTACATTGAGACGTTTTCAAGATTTATTCCTAAGGTCGCGTCCTAACTCAGGAGATGGGTGTGGGGTGTCTAAAAACCCGTACGTTACAGTTATAATGATAATAATAATAATGGGTTAGAATGGCAATGTTCAATGCTATTAGTTTCAGCGGAAGTATTTGAAGGCGGAATAGTATATGACGCAGAAGTATTATTAAGCAGAACTAGTTTGTTTGTTTTTTTGTGTTTTAAAGCGGTCTGTCAACAATCGAGTTTGGACCAGATACTCCCATGTTTGATACGATGACATGCATAAACTAAGTTATTGAACCACCCGATCCCGTTAGTCCTCTGTTACGGCAAACATGGGTTAACGGGGAAGTAGTAGTAGTAGTAGTAGTAGTAGTAGTAGTAGTAGTAGTAGTAAAAGGGGTAGTAGAAGGGGTAGTAGTAGTGGTAGCATTGCAAACAGCATAGTTGCAAGAGTGAGTGAGTTGGTTTTAACGCCGCTTTTAACAGTTTTATCGCGGCGTGTCAGCTTCATGTGGGAGGAAAGCCCGAAGTGATGCAGGTCTCAGACGTTTACCACTTCGGTGAAACCTACGAGCACGGGTATGGTGCTGACAAACCTAGAAACATAATCGGGGCGAACCGGGATTCGAATCCACAATCATAGGTTTCTGGCGTGCACAAGGGACGCAACTCTGCACAGCGAATCGCGGCGCCTTAGACGTCTTCCCCCCACCCAAGTTGGAAGAAGAAGCAGCAGTAACAGTAGCATTAGTAGTGTCATCAGCAGTAGCAGTAGAAACTGTTGCAGTAATGTCGTAGTAGTAGTAGTAGGAGTAGTAGTTGTAGTAGTACCAGAAGTAGCAGTAATAATAATAGGAACAGACGCAGTAGGAATAGTAGCAGTTCTACTAGTAGCAGTAGCATTAGTAGATGTAGTAGTAGTAGCAGGAGTAGTAGCAGGAGTAGTAGTAGTAGCAGTAGTAGTAGTAGTTATGACAATATGAACAGACACAGTAGGAACAGTAGCAGTTCTACTAGTAGCAGTAGCATAAGTAGATGTAGCTGTAGTAGTAGTAGTAGTAGTAGTAGTAGTAGTAGTAGTATATCTGGGGCAGCAAGGTGGTATCTTGGTTCATGTTTCTTTATGCAAGGGGGGGGGGGGGGGGGGGGGGGGTACATACAATGTTAATTCCATTTACATTGTCTAAAAAATATTGCATGATATATATACATTGCAAGATTTCTAACTGTACATGGATCAGAGGATGTCATCATAACGAGATGGGTATTCATGGTATCTGTCATCTCACCCCTGCAGATGCCCCGCGGGGAGTTTGACTGGGACAGCGAGACACAGGGCATCATCCTCTCAGCAGCCTTCTACAGCAGCTTCATCGCCCCGGCCATCAGCGGCTTCGTTGCCAGGCGATTTGGAGCCAAGATCGTCGTCGGCGTCAGCGTGTTTGCGTCTGCGGTTGCCACATTACTGACGCCGCTTGGTGCACGCGCACATGTGAACTTCCTTATCGGTCTCAGGGTGTTCCTGGGATTCTTCTCAGTGAGTTTTGTTTGTTTGTTTGTTTGTATGGTTGTTTGTTTGTTTGTTTATGGTTGTTTGTCTGTTTGTTTGTTTGTTGTTTAACGCCGCACTCAGCAATATTCCAACTATATGACGACGGTCTGTAAATAATCGAGTCTAGACCAGACAATCCAGTGATTGACATCTTGAGCATCGATCTACGTAAGTGGGATATGATGACATGCATCAACCAAGTCAGAGAGCCTGACCACCTGATCCCGTTAGTCGCCTTTTACAGCAAGCATGGGTTGCTGAAGACGTTTTCTAACCCGGATCTTCACGGGGGAGACAAGCATCGGTTTGCTGAAGACCTATTCTACCCCACATCTCAGACGTTTACCGCTTAGGTAAATAGTTTGTTTGTTTGTTTGTTTGTTTGTTTGTTTGTTGTTTAACGCCGCACTCAGCAATATTCCAGCTATATGACGGCGGTCTGTAAATAATCGAGTCTGGACCAGACGATCCACTGATTGATATCATGAGCATCGGCTGGGATACAATGACATGCATCAACCAAGTCACAGAGCCTGACCACCCGATCCCGTTATACGACAAGAAAGGGTTGCAGAAGACCTATTCCAACCCGGATCTTCACGGGTCCACTTCGGTAAAACGCAGGAACAAGTAACATAGAATTGCAATATATAACACACGTGGGCCCGTGAAGATCTTGGTAGAATAGGTCTTCAGCAACCCATACTTGCCCTTAAAGGCGACTATGTTTGTCGTAAAAGGCGACTAACGGGATCGGCTGGTCAAGCTCGCTGACTTGTTTGATGCATGTCATCGAACCAAATTGCGTGGATCGATGCTCATGTTGTCAATCACTGGGTTGTCTGGTCCAGACTCGATTATTTACAGACCGCCGTCAGACAGGTGGAATATTGCTGAGTGCGGCGTTAAACAACAACAACAACAAAAAAAGAAGAAGAAAACACTAGAAGTGACACAATGACTTAATGTATTCTGACTACTGTAGGGCACCATCTTCCCCGCATCCCTGGAGCTATGGTCACACTGGGCGCCGGGCCCAGAACGGGTGCAGCTCGTCTCCAGCACATACACGGGTAGGTGAACGCAGATACTACTATAGCCATAGCAACCGAAATTATATAGAAGTGGTAGTTGTGGTTTGTTTGAGTGTTTAACGCAGCATTCGGAAATACACCAGCTATATGATGGAAGTATTAATAGAAGTATAGTAGTAGCAGCAACAGTACTGATAATAGCAGTGGTGAAGAAGTGGTAATAGCTGTAAAACGAGTAATAGCAGGTATAGTAACCATACAAATTTGACATTTGAAGCCACAATATTATAAATAGTAATACGAGTAGATGTATTTTGACAGTAGATGGACAGCACAAGCAGCAATATATATATATATGTATATAATTCCAAAATTCCAAAATGGTAAAGCCCTGACACTCCTCTTACGGTGGTTCCTGGTGATCCCACTCCTACATCTTCATCCTCAGGCATCAACGTGGGCAGCCTCGCCGCGTCCCTCCTCTCCGGCTTCATCTGCACCATCCCCCACGATAACGGCTGGCCCTACGTCTTCTATGTGTTTGGTAAGGGACAAGCCTTAGTCTATGTTCCGTCTTTGTCTGTTGTTTAATGCTGTGTACAACAATACTCCGGCAAAATGACGGTTTCAGTTTTACCTTTCTCATACGAAACCTATTGCTTATAAAGCACTAAAGAGTATCAATTGGTAGCGTTCTTGTTGAAGGTTTTAAATATACGTCCTGTATGAAACTGAAGATTCAATGCAGTTATGTTTTCTTTGATAACGTTACTCGTGTTTGTTTGTTTGTTTGTTTGTTCTTGACCATTCCGTTGCTTGAGATTCAACGGGAACGTGCAATAACGCCATAGCTCCTGTAGTTGTGCTCTCCTGTATACGATTGGCCGTAAGACCTTGTTCACCAAGTGAATCCCTTCTGCAGGTGGACTGAGCGCCATCTGGTGTGTGGTGTGGTTCCTGTGTATCCACGACACCCCCGAGACGCACCCATGGATCAGTCAGGAGGAGGCCCAGTACATCGCCAAGCACACCATGAAGAAAGAGGACCCACAGGAGGTATGGGGGCAAGCGATACCGGAATCAGTATCATTGATGAGGAGCGTGCACGCAGGACATCAGATTTTGTGCATTCGCTGACCTCCCATCTCTTTTTCATTTCTCTTCTCAGTTCACGGCATTGCTGTGGCTATAAGAGAAAAACCGGCTCGCCCCTTCTTCCTTCTTTACTTCCCACCAGCCCCCTACCCTCACCATCCATCTCGCCTCCTGTAGGCCTTCCAACCACTCCCCACTACGCTCACCAAACGAACACCCACCCCCCTCCATCCATTCTGACTCCCTCCCCTCTCCCCACATTTTCAGACAAAACCTACTCACACATCTTCTCAAAACAATTTCCGCGACTTCGCCCTGATTTCATCAAATGTCACCTGCCCCCTCCTCCACCCACTCTCTCAAGTCCAACCCCAGCCACATAGATAGATAGATAGATAGATAGATAGATATAGAATGCATTTCTCTCTTTCTCTCTCTCTCTCTCTTCTCGACTGCCCACTCCTCCACCCACTCTCTCAAGTCCAATCCCAGCCACATATATATTTATATAGAGAGAGAGAGAGAGAATGCATTTCTCTTTCTCTCTCTCTCTCTTCTCGACTGCCCACTCCTCCACCCGCTCTCTCAAGTCCAATCCCAGCCACATATATATTTATATATATAGAGAGAGAGAATGCATTTCTCTCTCTCTCTCTCTCTTCTCGACTGCCCCCTCCTCCACCCACTCTCTCAAGTCCAATCCCAGCGATATATATATATATATATATATAAAGATAGATATATAGATATATATATAGATATAGATATATATATATATATATAAATAGATATATAGATAGATAGATATATATATATAAAACTCTAAAATGTATCTTTACATCCGTAGTTTGTTACTCGCGAAAGCTTGTCCGCCATTTTGGATGACGCATCAGTACGCGCGTTCTTATCGGCTTCTTGACATTTCGTAAATAGTTACCGAATTACTTTCGCAGTCGAAAAGATAAATTCTGAGAAATAGTTGTCATGAAATATACAACGGGTAGGACTTATTTGAATGCATAACCGTGTATAAAACAAGCCGTTTACACACCCAATCGGGGGCACGGGTTGCCCAGTCGTCTAAGGCGCCGCGATTCGCTGTGCAGAGTTGCGTCCCTTGGGCACACCAGAAACCTATGATTGTGGGTTCGAATCCCGGTTCGCCCCGATTATGTTTCTAGGTTTGTCAGCACCATACCCGTGCTCGTAGGTTTCACCGAAGTGGTAAACGTCTGAGACTTGCATCACTTCGGGCTTTCCTCCCACATTAAACTGACACGCCGTGATATAACTGGAATACTGTTAAAAGCTGCGTTAAATCCAACTCCCTCACGACACACCCAATCAATGTTCTCCTTCCAGTCCTCGCGTCCCCCGTTCCTGCAGATGTTCCTGTCGGGGCCGGTGTGGGCCTTCATCATCGTCCAGACCTGCCACATGTGGTGCTCCAGCATCTTCTTCGCCTACCTCCCTAAGTATATGAGTGACGTCCTCCACTTCTCCATCGAACAGGTGCGACTCCACATACTGACGAAGGGGGACAAACATCTAGTCTCTGAAATGAACATATTTTACAGAAAAAAAACAGTTGTTTAGTTATCCCCCAAAATGTAATGAAAGAAGCCAAGAGACTGTCTCCAGTTTCAGAAACTATCTAATCTGGACCAGTAAGGTTGTTGCTGCTACTTTAGGTGTTTAAAAGGTCGCCTTCTGCCTTAGGAATTTCGGCTGAGAATCTTTTTTTTAACTTTCCAGATGCAATTTCCCCCATGATCTCTTTATCCGTCCATAGCTCCTTATTTTTCGTTTTAATATTGATAGCGTTTTGGGAGGAGTGCTTAAAGTTCAAATGTTTAAGGGCACTGTTCTAATCACCGTGTTATGAACATTGTTAACTCTTTCAATTACAAAGTCAGAACTACCTTAGTGTCGGTCGGTGGTATGTTTGAAATGCCATTTCCTCCTTAATGAAGACTCGACGAATAAACGATATCTTATGATCCGAACAAGCAAAAAGACTTTTCCACGTGTAACTCAAACAGTAAAAAATACAGACTACAAAGTGATTTTCTTTATTAATTATTCTAAAAAACATAAGTCAGTTTCGGGAAAGTGGGGATGTTCTTTAGCCAACACCGATGGTACCATCACTGCTTTTTAATTATCCATTCATATAAAATCATCCCTATTTTGCCTTTTGCGCCCAGTGGAATCTGTTTCGGCGGATAATCGAGACTGGTTAGTTACTGGCGTTGACGTTTTAATATGTTTATTCACTTTTTATGAACTGAGAGTTACCGTATGTTCTTCTTAACATTTCCACATTCTTTGATATCAGTTCCAGTAAAAGTTTGAAACTGACATTCACGTGTGCATTCTAAAGACCCGGGAGGACTTTTCGCACATCCCATTACTTCTTTTGTTACAACTTGTGTTCAGATGTAAATGTGGTTGATCTTTTGTTCCCCTGCAGAACGCCATCATTTCGTCCGCCCCATTCGCTACCAGATTTGTCGGTGTGATGGCGTGGGGATATCTCTCAGATCTACTTTTGAGGAAATCGTCCATCAGTGTCACGTGGATCCGAAAAATAGTCCAGTCTTCAGGTACCCAGGATCCGTCATCAACTACATGTCCTATCATTAAAGCTACACGAATTTGAAACATTAGGCCTTGAAAAATTCATTAAATTTGATGATTTGTTTGTTGTTAACTACCAGACAATATTCCAACTATATGACGGCGGTCTGTAAATAATCGAGACTGGACCAGAGAATCCAGTGATTGATATCATGAGCATCGATCTACGTAAGTGAGATACGATGACATGCATTAACCGAGCCAAGGAGACTGACCACCTGATCCCGTCAGTCGCCTCTGACAAGCATGGGTTGCTGAAGGCCCATTCTAGCCCGGATCTTTACGGTGGATGAGACGTCTTTACTCTGTATTAGTTCTGTATCGGTTCTGCTTTAGCGCTCTTCAGATGCACAGCGTTCACACATATTTATCAGCGTGGCCGACATGTTCCCCCGTGACTATCGCATTGTTTACCTCCGGCTCAGATCTGTGAAGATCCGGGGTAGAATAGGTCTTCAGCAACCCATGCTTGCCGTAAAAGGCGACTATGCTTGTCGTAAAAGGCGACTAACGGCATCGGGTGGTCAGGATCGCTGACTTGGTTGATGCATGTCATCGATCCCAATTGCGTGGATCGATGTTCATGATGTAATTCACTTGATTGTCTAGTCCAGACTCGATTATTTACAGACCGCCGTCATACAGCTGGAATATTGTGCGGCGTTAAACAACAAACCAACCAACCAACCAACCAACCTCCGACTCAATGCCTGTGTGTTCATGTTTACCTGTGTTTACCTGTGTTTACCTGTGTTTACCTCTATGTCTACCGCTTCAGGCTTCTTCGTTTGTGGCGTCTTCACAGTGGGTATCGGCATGGTCAACGACCAACAGAGAGAAATTGCTGTCGCCCTCTTCCTCCTCGCAATGTTCTGCCAGTCATCTTCGATGTCGTCCTCATCGGTTACTCCCCTTGATATCGCTCCAAGGTCGGTGGACGTTTGCTCCCCTTCAATTCATCCTATAAGCCTCGTAGTGATGTTAACTGATGTATTATGTAGCTACAGCAACAACAAAAAACACTTTAAAAAAATAACTTGGGACCATTCAATCATTCATCTCCGCGATTATTTTGAAATTATGGACCCGTGAAGATCCGGGGTAGAATAGGTCTTCAGCAACCCATGCTTGCCGTAAAAGGTGACCATGCGGGATAGAGTGGTCAGGCTCGCTGACTTGGTTGATGTATGTCATCGTATCCCAATTGCGTGGATTGATGCTTATGATGTCAATCACTGGATTGTCTGGTCCAGACTCGATTATTTACAGACCGCTGGAATATTGCTGGGTGTGGCGTTAAACAACAAACGAACTAACGAAATGTGAATTTATGCAACATGTCAAGTCTTTGAATGGCATTTAGAAAATGACATACATAAGAGAGAGAATTTATGTATGTCAACGCTCTTTATTATGTTGCCGTTGTATAGCTGGAATATTGTGCGGCGTTAAAATTTTGAGGAACACAACGTTTCGGAGTATATGCTTACTCCACCATCAGGCGAATAAATCCCGATGAAGCAGAAAGCGTATACTCCGACATTCTGATAAAATGCATTTGCAAATTATACCATATGTCCAAATAGGAGCACAAGTGGTCCAGTCGAATAAGCCGCCACTGTTCGCTGTGCAGAGTTGCGTCCCTTAAACGTACCAGAAACCTATGATCATGGTTCCAATATCCTGATTCGCCCTTCGTCTAAGACCTGCGTCACTTCTCACTCACTCACTCACTCACTCACTCACTCACTCACTCATGCAGGTATGCCGGCATCATCACTGGAGCCTATATGGTGATCGGATCCTTCATGTCCATGTTCGGGCCTATGGCTGCCGCTTACCTGACGCCAAACGTAAGTTTCATTTTTTATTTACATTTTGAAAGGTTGACACTGTACTTGAGTGTATGCCTTCAATAAGAAATCAAAGCAGGAATTTGACTGCATTGCAGCAATACGATCATTTTAAATTTGTTTATGCGAACGGTAAACCCTTACTCTCTCCAGCATGACTTTGTTTGTGTCAAAAATATTCAAAAGACACACCTTTGTCTGAAAAATAGTTTTGTTTTTCATGCCTTCCGAGTGACGTAGTGTGTGTTGTGTGAAGTATGGCACGGCAAATAGGTTTAAAAATAAATAAATTGCCCTCACTTCGTGCATAAGCACTACTGAAAAAAATCGAATGCCGAATATAAAACGGGTGGTCACACACACGCACGCACGTACACACACACACACACACACACACACACACACACACACACACACACACACACACCATCTATTTAGGCACCGACTATATAATATTCGGTTTGTTTGTTGGTTGGTTTGTTGTTTAACGCCGTACTCAGCAATATTCCAGCCATATGACGGCGGTCTGTAAATAATGTGGACCAGACAATCCAGTGATTAATATCATGAGCATCAATCCACGCACGTACGCACGCACGCACACCATCCCAACCCTTTCACACACACACACCAGTTAAATTTTGAAAAAAATATTACGTGATCGGTTCCTATTGATATGTTTGTAAACAGGGGACTCTGGAGGAGTGGAGGATAGTGTTCTTCATCATCGCAGGGGTGTACGTGGTCGGTGTCACTGCATTTGTGTTCCTTGGGAGCGGCGAGCTTCAGCCGTGGGCCGTGCCTGAAGAACAGACCTCAAGCGAGGCGACGACAGATGCGGAGCTTGGGGACAACAAATCGGATATAACTTGTGACGAATCGCCCACGAGCGGACGCCATCAAGAAAACAAAGTCGGTGAAAATGAGTGCCAATTGAATTATACTAAAAATGGACACGTTAATGCTGCCTTCGAGTTTGATAAAACCGGGCAAGAATCTCAGCTTGCGATAATTCACGAATCAGACGAAGACAAACTGTCAACACAACTAACGTCATCAAGTACAAAACTATAGTCTCATTGTGCTCGTCCATATGTTCCAGTATCATTCATCGTGACGTAACGAATAATGTCCTTACCTGAAGCCTGCGTAGCTGCTTCAATCGTCTCATCCATATCTTTGTGTGTTTGTTTGTTTGTTGTTTAACGCCGCACTCAGCAATATTTTAGCTATATGACGGCGGTATGGAAATAATCGAGTCGGGGCCGGACAATACAGTGATTGACTTCATGAGCACCGATCTACGCAATTGGGTTTTTGGTTTGGTTTGTTGTTTAACGCCGCACTCAGCAATATTTTAGCTATATGACGGCGGTCTGTAAATAATCGAGTCTGGACCAGACAATCCAGTGGGATACGATGGCATGCATCAACCAAGTCAGCGAGCCTGACCACCCGATCCCGTTAGTCGCCTTTTACGACATGCATGGGTTGCTGAAGACCTATTCTAACCCGGATCTGCACGGGTTTCTTTTACGGGCTAATGTTATCATATTCAGTGGGACATAGCAGAGTTTTGTAGTACATCTCATGTGACTTAAACTATTACACAATCTTCGAGGATGCTTGTTATGAGGAGACATCATCACTCACTCGCTCACTTAGAATGACATAACGGCACTATTTACTTCATGTGGTATTCACGTAATTGGCGTAGGGTGAGGTGTGTTTGCATGCTTTGTTTGAGTGTGAATGTAGTCAGTGTACTTAATAAAGATGTCAAGAGCATGGACATCGTTTGTTTTATTTTCTGTTTTATTTAGGCACCGACTATATAATATTCGGTTGGTTGGTTGGTTGGTTGGTTGTTTAACGCCGCACTCAGCAATATTCCAGCTATATGACGGCGGTCTGTAAATAATCGAGTCTGGCCCAGACAATCCAGTGATTTATATCATGAGCATCAATCCACGCAATTGGGATCGATGACATGCATCAACCAAGTCAGCGATCCTGACCACCCGATGCCGTTAGCCGCCTTCTACGACAAGCATAGTCGCCTTTTACGGCAAGCATGGGTTGCTGAAGACGGGTGATGAATTAATCAAACAAAAGCATCAAAATAAAGCGACTGCGCTTAGTTGGTATAAAACGACGGCTCATAGTCGGTCGAGTTGCTAAGGTGTAGAGGCGTTCGCTTGTCAGCCGAATGTGTTTGAAACCAATCTCTGCTGTCCACCCCGTGATATTACTGGAATATTGCTAAAAGCGGCGTATAACCATATTTACTCTCTCAGTCAGTCAGTATAATGTGTCTTGGTGTTGTGTTTATATTACAATATCACCGCGGAGGACACCAGAAATAGGATTCACACATTGTACCCATGTGTGAAGCCCATTTCTGGTGTCCTCCGCCGTGATATTGCTGGAATATTGCTAAAAGCGGCGTATAGCAATAGTCAGTCAGTCAGTATAATAGTCAGTTAGTCAGTATAATTTGTCTGAGTGCTGTGCCCATATTATACTGTGGCATGCATAACAATACCAGTGACATGAAACTGGCAGGAGGCCCGTGTGTATGAGTTTAATAATATTAAAACCGACTTAAAATCCCTTTTAACCTCACCTCAGCTCATAAAACAACACGTCATGACAACGAGAAATACAATACGGTAGTTGACTGACGACTGTTGCCATTGATATACACGTTTTCTACACAAGCAGGTGCCCACGATGAAACTTTACATAACCACTAGCTGTGTAGTTCACGCCTATCTTTGTTCCACGATATTCGAGTCGATATTCGAGCTGCCAAGCAAAGGTTAACTGTTACCGTATTCGACGTAATAAGCGTATATAGGCTAGTGACCAATCTCAATTAGCACCCCATCCGATTGATCAATGTACACAAGACTTATTTATTCGCGTATAATACGCACTCATGTGTTATATGCACCCATAATTATGGGCAATTAAATTATGGAAAAATATATCTGTCGTACATAAATATTTCACTATAAATAACGATATTTATCTTCCAACTCTGTTTTTTTTTCACTAAAATAATATTCTAATAAGAGCCGCCTATTTCTAATTTTGAGAGCGCCCTGGGCGCTTATTACGTCGAACACGGTATTTGAAATGCATCGTGTTGATCACGTGACAATTAATAGACTCGTCAAGGGTGGAGTGTATCGCACTGATCGTTGCCATGTCAATACTCCATCTGCACCTTTTATCAGACGGTTCCATTGTTCAAACGTTACCTGCACCTGCTTGCCATTTCTTTGGACCTTCGGAAGACTTGAGGATGGGTGTTGTTTCAACTGTCCCGCCTGTCCAAGGACCAGCAGAATGGATAAGGATAGTGTCTTTGTACCACATCAAGCCCCTCGACGATACAGGGTATCTCGCATCAGCTATATACTTAACAATCATAGGTAAGTGCTAGTGTTTCACCATTACAATTTGTTGACTGTAACATTGCAAATGTCCAGACCGATCGTGTTATGCCATTGTTAACAAACAAGGATTTTATGCTTGTAGTCTTTTGTGTATAATTTCTACCATGATAAAATATTGATTGGAAATTTCTCCAGTTCACGGAAGATCTTCTTTCGGGATGGGTGTTTGGTGCTTTGGAGGTGAGCCTGTCACGCTCTGTTTTCTCCATTCCTAATGACTTTCTTCTCATTGTAATTTGTTTAAATTTAAATTTTAAATAATAATGTAATTTTCTTTTAGATATTATTTTGCCAGATTCTTTCTTAATTTATTAGAAGATAAATCCGCATTCAGCCATTGTCAGCCTTTCGATGTTCACGGCGGGAGTCCACAGCTTGTTAAATATTTTGGGGAAATTAATTCATTGCAAATGCAACCTGAAGAACATGAGGTTCATTCTCATCCATCTCAAACTCGTTCCACTGCACCTTAAAGTTAGCCATGTTATTAAGCGGTTAACAATAGACAATTTAGCTAAGTCCATATCACACTGCAGATCTGTGGCCGTTAACATATAGGCCATAACAGGCCATTTCAGAGGGGGTCATCCAAAATGTTCAAGGACATGGGGAGGGTCATCCCAAATTTGACAAGCATTAGGTTAAGGTCATTATTTCATCAAAAACCTCTTCACTCACCCCAGTTAATCTTGTTGTCTTTCATTTGAAAATTTGTTGTTTGTTTCAATTTTTACATACTTGGATTGCTCACTGACTACTAATGAGATTTAAACCAGGGCTCCTTTGTCTTGCTCCGAATAAATTAAATTGTTAGTTCAACACCACTTGGCAATGACGGAACTTCTTTTTTCCCTATCATTTACCTTGATGATAAATCGTAGAAAGCATCTTTTATACGGATAACGTTTTACTATATGATTCCTACAGTATTCATGTATAAATTTTATGATAATGTGTCTCTAATAATTCTATTGAATGGTTCTATACATTCTATGTCAAATTGTACAAAGCTGTTTTATGTATGTACAGAAGTGAGACACAAATAAACTATTGTCTGTCTGTCTGTCTGTCTGTCTGTCGGTAAGAGTTATCTAATCGGTCTACTGCAGTGTCAATGTCGAATGATTTTGTGATAGATGGGGAAAATTGCGTTGTATGTCGTATCTATTTATTAATAACAGCCATCTTTTTTGCTGATATTGCCGACAGAAAGTCAGGTAACTGGACGATCCACTGACTGTTAAATTACATGTATAGGCTCAACCGCCCTGTTCGTGGAATTATGAACTGGAGTGAGTATGGTTTTACGCCGCTTTTAGCAATATTCCAGCAATATCACGACGGAGGACACCAGAAATGGGCTTCACACATTGTACCCATGTCGGGAATCGAACCCGGGTCTTCGGCGTGACGAGCGGACGCTTTAACCACTAGGCTGCCCGACCGCCCTATGAACTAGAATTATGTATAAGACAGTATTAGGCAATGGAACCGAAAATGGCTCACCGCCAAAAGAATTGCAAATACCATACATGTTGGTTAATATTTGAAGTTCAATGCACAAACGAACATGCTGGTATGTTGTGTAAAGCAATGCCCATGAACTCGTCATAGATCAAGAACTCGGTATGTACCATTTGTCTCACGCAGAATTAGAGTGTACAGTTTTGGAATCAAGTGCTGCATATTGTGATAAGAATAAAGACACTCTGTGGTAACACTTGACAGATTTGTCATCAATTGGTACACATTGGAAATATCTCTTCTCAAGGTACATACTTCTCTATATGTTTAAATGGGTCGCGTTTATTTGGGCGATGAGTATATATTATGTCCAGCCAGCATTTGTTGTGTATTATATGATGGTTGTGTCGTCAAATGTTATAACGTTAGATCGCGAGGGCGAAACCTTAACGTGTTACACACTGGATGGGGGCACTGGCTTGGTTTCACCAAAACATGCGGTTTGAAATCAGTCAGTGAGTGAGTGAGTTTGGTTTAACGCCGCTTTTAACAGTATTACAGTTATATCGCGGCGTGTCAGCTTAATGTGGGAGCAAAGCCCGAAGTGATGAAGGTCTCAGACGTTTACCACTTCGGTGAAACCCACGAGCAGGGGTATGGTGCTGACAAACCTAGAAACATAATCGGGGCGAACCGGGATTCCAACCCACAATCATAGGTTTCTGGCGTGCCCAAGGGACGCAACTCTGCACAGCGAATCGCGGCGCCTTAGACGACTGGGCCACGAAATCAGTCAGTGACATGAGCAATTAGGTTACTAGCAATTAAACAATAAATAATTGTGTAGAAGGTTATAGTGAAACAAAGTGAATTAGCTTTTGGTTGTACTCAACAGCTTTCCGGGGGCACGGGTGGCCCAGTCGTCTAAGGCGCCGCGATTCCCTGTGCAGAGTTGCGTCCCTTTGGCACGCCAGAAACCTATGATTGTGGGTTGGAATCCCGGTTCGCCCCGATTATGTTTCTAGGTTTGTCAGCACCATACCCCTGCCCGTGGGTTTCACCGAAGTGGTAAACGTCTGTGACCTGCATCACTTCGGGCTTTCCTCCCACATTAAGCTGACACGCCGCGATATAACTGGAATACTGTTAAAAGCGGCGTTAAACCCAACTCACTCACTCACTCACTCACTCACTCACTCAACAGCTTTCCTGTGTACATGCGGTGTCCAAGAATACGATATCGCATAGACACTACAAATTTGTTTGACTTCTTTGAGTAGTTGACTGACGAATAACATGTGTTCTTCATCCCATACTTGTGCTTCCCTATAGACTATATACCTTCAACAAATTTAAATATGCTACCTGTGTAAAACATTATGAAGCTGAGAACTCAGGAGACAAATATTACTCGCATTCACACCCGGAAGAAAATTTTAGTAGATATAGTAATGGATGAAACTTGGACGTCTCTAACTTTCTACGAAGTTCCCGTGTAGTTTCTGAGGGGGCTTTTCGCATTGTAGTGTAAGTAACAAAAGAACAAGTGCCCACATGATATATAATTTATATGCAATGTTTTAATTACTTTCAACACATTTATATGAACAATAAGCTAATTAATAAGTCCATAGATAATGCTTTGTTGCACGTTCATCGTTCTGTTTCCATTTTTTACATTATATACTTTAACAGAGTAAGAGAAGTTTATGCAAATGGCATTCCTCTTGACAAGTACTAAATAACAACTGTTGTTTATTAAACAGAGATTGTTTTATGAAAAACATTATGACTACAAATTTCTTCTCTCACATTCCAATTTAATTCAGATCCATTTTTTCAGTTCTTCGAAACCGCTAAGAGTGAGTGAGTGAGTGAGTTTGATTATACGCCGCTTTTAGCATTATTCCAGCAATATCACGACGGGGGACACCAGAAATGGGCTTCACACATTGTACCCATGTCGGGAATCGAACCCGGGTCTTCGGCGTGACGAGCGAACGCTTTAACCACTAGGCTACCCGACCGCCCCGAAACCGCTAAGAATAACATTATCATGATCACAAGTTAAGGTAATGAGCCTGTTGAATGTTACCTTGTGAGATCTGTCTCATCTATCACTAATTTGATGCTTTCTCCGAGTTCAGCCACTTCCAATATCCTCAACATAATGAATTAATGTTCATTCATAAATATATTGATGGGTGCGGGGAAGTATGGAATACTGTAAGGGACATTCTCGCGATCTCGCATTCTCGCGATCTCGACCTTTGGAAACGAGGTAAATATGCCCAAAACACGAGAATGCGAGATCGCGAGAACGCGAGATTTGGCCAAAATCTCGCGTTCTCGCGATCTCGCATTCTCGTGTTTTTGGTACATAGCACTTTTTGTCAAAAGTCGACAACGCGAGAATGCGACATTTGGACATGATGCAAAATCTCGCAATCTCGCAATCTCGACCTGTCAAATTAGGCCACAAAAACACGAAATCGCGAGAACGCGAGAATGCGACATTTCATTTTCTCGCGATCTCGCGTTCTCGCGTTCTCGCGTTTTTTACGCTGTCCGTGCGCATGCGTAATATCACAAGGTCAAGGCCCATGCGCACGTTAGTAGTCCTTTGGTCATGCTCCTTTCATGCTCTTCATTCTCCAAGTAGCATTTAGCAAACTTATGACTTGAGCTTGAAAATGCTATGTAATTTACATACACAAAGTCTGAGTCATCTCCCGTTGTTACAGTTTCCTATGTACTTTATAATAAAACCCTCAACATGTTCAATATAATATAACAAAAGAAATTGTGTCTATGAATGTCCAATGATAGTGAAAACATTAATGTGGCCGAAAGCTGGAAACAAAACTATTACCATCAGTGAGTGAGTAATATTGCTTAAAGCCGCACCAGCAGTACTACAGTTACAAAAATAATCACAAGCCAGTGAGTTTCTCCATGAGGCAATGTTATACACGGCTAGCATATTCATGACAGGCAAAATTCTCATAGACCAATTTGAAATACAAAATTAATTATCATATTTTCATCCGCTCCAACCTGACTACAAAACATCCCGCTTTACATTATTTTATAGTTAAAATGGATAAAATTATCATTAAACCGCCCGCATGTTATCATAAATGAGCGGGCCACTAGTAAAGAAATAAACGACGAGTGGTAGTACAATAAAACACTGCAGGGAGAATAAACCATGAGGGGCGAGTGTTTTATTGTACAATAAACAACAACCACGAGTCGTTTAATGATTATATGAGATATCAACATTATGTACAGCCTCTTTAAGGGTGTTCATCTCATATAAACATACGTCTATATTCTGTACATAAACATGAACTTAAAAATCAATGATATACAAAATCGTTATCTTAACCCTATAATAAACAAACAATTCATCAAGGGCGATAACTCGATCCCGACATCACTTATAAGATACAATATATACCTGGTCCATGTTGTAAAATACACTTAACATTATAAATACAATTTCCACT